TTGATTGATCGACCGATCAATCAATACAAGATCCAAAGTACAATCAGTATTGATAGAAAGTATTTCTATGAATCGAAAAAGTTTATGCGATCCGAAATCTATAGAAACAGATCTTTCACTAATTGAAATAGTCAGAATGGCTGCTGTGTTTTTTGCTTAAGTTTTATTGTTTACTCAGTAAAATTTTTATTTTGTTGAGATACGTCAGGCAAAATCTACATTTCAATTGATATTTTTGTCTTAATAATCGTTGAGGCTTTTTTTCGTGACCTAATAAAGGATGGTTTTATTATTTATTCAAAGTATACTAGGATTGACAGTGAGTTATAAGGGCAACATTATTCACTTTTCCGTCTTTAAATATTGCTCGATTGGGATTTTCTACAGACAAACAGACTGATACACTACATAGGACGACAAAGTGGACGGCCTCTTCAGCTTCGTTTACGTGAACATCAATTAGCAGTTAAACGCCATGACAACGCTTCGCTTATATCAATACTCACCGACAATTATGGACACGCATTTGATTAGAACAATGTGGAAATACTGGATAGGGGGGGAGGACAAAGAACACTAGAGAATTTTTAGAATCTTGGCGCACTCAGGTCAATGAGCAATCAACAAACGCATCGACATTGACCCAATTTATCAACCAATCAGGAAAAGCATAAACGAACATACGATCAAGAAACAGAAACAAAAAGGGGATACAATCGAAAGGCAACATGAATGTCGTTAAATTCAGAGGGGCTTCATGTGATTACTAAAAGAGGAAGCAGAAATTTATTTTAACTTAGAATATATATTCACTCAGATACTGTGAAAACTACCTTGATCAAGTATGCTGAACAGTATTGCTTTACACAGAGTAAAAGTACAAATCATGTGACAAGTACCAACAAAACTGTTGACAAGCGATGTTAATTTACTAAGGACGACCATTAAAATGTAGAAATTGCAGTAGTTTAATCCATCAAACTACCTATCGATAATAATTATAATCCTCAAACTTGAAAAAAGACTGAAAAATATATTTGACGTTTAATACAAACTAACCTTATAATGTGACACATCAAACTGTTGAAAAATTATATTGTCTTTTTTGGATCCAACTTTTCTAGTTTACGTCTTGGCCAATGCGAATTTGTCAGAAAGTCCAAATGAGATAAAGCAGAACTTTCGTCTACTAAAGCTATATCTTCAGTTTCAATATCATCCAACAACATTAATTCTTGCTCGAACTTCGAAGGCTCCGGGGTATCATCATGATTACCTCTGAGTGGAAAGAATTATACATTTTAGATGATGTGAAGTGGATCTTGCCAGTAAATTCATGTAAGTTTAAATAATCTATTCATCTAGACACGATAAGTTATAACAATGGAATCTATGAATCATCAAATTTTTTATTTCTGTCACACAATGACACACATTACACAGGTAAAACTTACTTCCCTAATATTGGCTTAGACGAACTTCTATTGACAATGATTGAGTGACGATTTCAACATGTGAAAACGCTGATCTCCATAACTCTAATCGAAGAAATCATCAGCTAAACACGAATATCACATGTTTTCATCATTACGGATCATCAGTTACATGATTAAAACAAATTTGTCATACAAGATGGGATCACTTACAACCAAAACCGTCCGTCCAACTGCATTGAAAATACAAAACATGCAAGAATAACATTTGCTGGTTGTTCTGTGTCAACCTTGAGGAAAATACAATTCAAGTGTTAACGATTAAGCACACAAGTTAAGCTAAATTATTAAACACAGAATGACATCAAGCATTTGCTTTTATTTGTATCCGATCTAGAACCCCGTTTTTAACGACTTCGAGATAAACTTTAGGGGTGTTTAGGAAGTCATATCAGTCGAGTTTGGGGAAATGTGACAGAAAAGCCTTAAGATTTTCGGTCTACGGTTTTCCCCGAAACAACATGAAATTTTTCGGAAAACACTGAAACTTACTAAAGGCAGAGAATTGGATCTGATATAACCGAGTCGACGAAAACAAAATATTCAGAAATAAAAAAGTTGTTATTATAGAACGTTACAAACCCCATCGTGGACTTAGCTAGATGCCACAGCTGAATAAGAAACAGTTCCCACTTTAAAAATATCAACATAATTACAAGTACTATACAGAATGTTTCACAAAACAACTGTACGGAAAATACCTTGGTTTTTTGAATGAATTCGGCCCTTTCTGAGTGACCAATGAAGGACGCTTAGTAGGCATTTTAATTTCAGCCTCTAACAAGTTATTGTTCCACCTGGAAATACCTTGTGTCCTTGGGAATGTGAAGATAACAAAGTGAGGTTGTCTATAAGAGGAAAATGAAAGAGAAATAGAGAACTGATGACTCAGTAAGCAAAAAGAAAGATCTGATTTTGGTTAAAGAAAGTAACTGACAACAATCTGAAATAACACAAGCTAGTATTGTGATAAAACCGGTAATCGGAATTAGACGCTGATGGCACGAGGCATCAAACCATTCCGTACTTCGTAATTTTAATAAAGCGCTTTCGAAATCGAAGGTAAAAGGCCTTCAAAGAAGAAGTACTCAAACAACAAAGCACATCTCGTAGATATCACGAAAAAAATATATTTGGTAATCAAAAAAACTTACACCTTATTTGGTTTTGATGAAAAGTTAAATTTCTCCAATTTCACTTGGGTAGGTTACAGGAAACTGAAGAGATTTGCTGGGATCTTGTACATTGATGTACGTATTCCATTTGTTGACGATTTTTTATGAATCACTGTGCGTGTATCTGCACTTTGTTGACCAGTTTAAATATTTCGATACACTCGAAAGCATTTATCGACAACTTATAAACTCTATACCATCAGATGATTCCTTCAGGTCATTCTGAGGCTGAAATACCATCAATATTTCTGTTATCTCCCTCTCCAAATCTTTGTAGTGTCGTCACAAAATGAAACCAATGATGTGAGACTAGGAAGGAAATTTACTCATATGATGGACAACATTGGTCCCTAAACTGTATCTTGAGACTCTGTACTAACTACACGTTTATAGGCAGACTACTAAGAATTAACTGGCACACTACTTCCACTCCTAACTTGGAAACAATTTATCCATTATTGATTAGTCTTCTCCAGTCCTAATATCACTTGACTTATATAACTGCCAGTTGTGAGGGCGTTTCTCAAAAGCCTTAACAAAAACGATGGAAGCTACATCAATACTAAAATTATCATCTTTGAGAGAGAACCAGCATTCGAAAGGTACTACTAGGTTTCTGAGATATGAATAACCTGTTGTGAATTAGTGCTGCTTTTAGGAAAGCATCTAGATTTGGTCTTTATAGATAGAAAGTTCCTTATCCAATATCCAATTTATTTTTCACGAGCTAGTGTGAACCATTTGATTTCTTTGTGCATGATTCTTGTTCTTTAGGTACGGTTCTAGGTGTTCGGTAATGTCCAATGGATGGAGGTCTAGCCACTCGACTATCTAATTCTAGGCAGTTGGTTGTGAGTTTGTATGTCTCGGGATTTGAATGAAACGTTTGTTTCAGGGCAGTAGGATTTCTGGGTACTGGCAGCTGTCACATTACCAGAACGGAGATCAGTTAGTTGCAACGTGGAGAGTAATAAGTGTTACGGCAGAAGTGAAGACATTTTGCTGATTACAACCTTTATATAAATATCGTTAATTTCACTGGGAAGGTACAGGTACATAGTTAGCTTGATAGGTGGGTAGGCTTACTGCTGTAAGTCCTACTCGTTCTTCCGGTGTGGATTAGGGGATGAGAGTGAACCCTAAGTTTAAGTGTTAGAAAGGGCTTGTTTTGCATGGAGGGATTTTGCGGACCGGTGTAGGATTGCGAATAAATTTGGTACCTAACTTTGGAATTTGGTTCTGTTGTTAATTTGGGTTCGTGAATTGCAAATAGATCGACATACTGTAGTTCAATAACAGGAAGGAGCAAAACTTGGACGTAACAAAAGTTCTTCAATTTTAATTCTGTTGTCATACATTGGATATGTCTGGACATTTTGGTTCTAATTTTCGGTATTCTTTGTCGAATTCGTTTGAATTAATTCACATTTGCTTGGTAACCGATTTTTGAACAAAGGCATACAATGGAAACCAGAAGCAAAAAGCCGAAGGAAAATGACGAAATGGATAGTAAAGATTCTGAAGCTGTCTGTGGTATGTCTGATATTAATGATGATAAACGTGACTATATTAGCGTTAATAGTAAGTCCTCAGCTCAGTTTAGTACTTCTAGATTGAGGTTAGATAAGGCATTACTAAAGAAGAAGAATTTTGAAAGGAGACTTGAGTTAGAAAGGCAGCTTAAAATGTCAGATCTTCAAGAGGAGGTTGATTTGGCCGAATTAGAATGTAAGGTCATAGAAAACGATAACCGACTGTCAGTAGACAAATCTGAGATAAATGCTAAAGGTGGAAAGGTACTTGGATTGTGACATTGCGCGTAATAAGCATTCCATGGAGGTATTCAACACCTCAAAATGCGATTGGATTGATGAATTAAAGGATACGTTACGTACTACGGTTAATAATACGGTTTTGCCTAAGATCGATATGATGTTTTTTGACGGACAACCAAGCCAGTACCACCGTTTTATTAGTCAGTTTACAAGCATTATAGGGAGTAAACTGTCTGACAAATGTAAGTTGTTGTCATATTTGTCATACTATTGTAAAGGAAAGGCCAGAACGGCTATTGAAGCTTGTATTTCCATGCCCAGTCACTTGGGTTACGATAGAGCTAAACAAATTTTGTATGATCTATTTGGTAAAGAACATCTTGTCGCTCGTAATCTTATTACTGATTTACTTAGCCACAAATCTGTTGAAGGATCCGCCGATGGCCTAACTGACTTCGCAATTAAGTTACGTAATGTATGTATAACATTGAAGGAAATGGGGTATATGTCTGATGTGAATTCTACGGCTAATCTGGAGATAATTGTGTCACGTTTACCCCTAGAATTACAGAATAAATGGGTGGAAGCTGCTGATAGGATCATGATGACCGGTAGAGAGCCGATATTTGAAGAATTAGTGATGTTTGTAGAAGAAAGAGCCAGGATTGCGCGATCACGTTTTGGTAGATTGGTACATTGTAACTCAAAGTTCCGTAAAAGTAATTATGAAGTCTGAGTTGACAGGAGATCACGCTTTAATGTAGTTAAGCGGGAACCAAGCAATTCATTCAAGGCTTGAAGTTGCGAAATTTGTTTTGGTGATCACAATGAGAAAGATTGTATGAAGTTATCAAAAATGAATGTTACAGAGAGGAGACAGGAAGTGAGGAAGCGTGGTCTGTGTTACCTGTGTTTAAGGAAGGGTCACATAGCCAAGTCGTGTAACTTGGACACAAGGTGTGACGTCGATAATTGTAAGATTCGGCATAATCCATTATTACATATTGATGCTACTAACAAACATGTGGTGAACTTTGCTAAGGATTGGAAATTCTCAAGGGTTTGTTTGGGTATCATTCTGGTTAGACTATATCGCCCCAAAAGATGTCTGGAAACATACGCTCTTCTAGATAATGGTTCAGATACCTCTATTGTATGCGAAGAGTTAGTTAATCGGTTAGGTCTCAAAGGTAAGGAGACTTCAATAAAGGTGACGACTGTGAATGGAACTTCTACTTGTGAATGTCTGGAAGTAAATTTAGAGGTATTTTCATTAAATGAAAGGGGTTCTATAAAGATCAACAAGGCCTATACGACCAAGAATCTTCCGATCGATCATGCAGAACCTTTAACCGAACTCCAGCTGAGAAAGTGGAAACATTTAAAGGACATAACTCTACCGAGGCTGCAAAGTAATCTTGTCGGAATATTGATTGGGTGTGATGCTCCAGATGCACATTGGGTCCTTGAACAACGCCTGGGAGATAGAAAGCATCCGTTTGGTGTGCGTACTCATCTCGGTTGGATGATTTTAGGTCCAAAAGGAGTATCGAGGTCTTTACATCAAGTTCAGTGGTGTCATTGTTCTACTAATGATATTTCGCGAGATGTAGAAAGATTATATAATCATGAGTTCGAGGATGCAGATGGGTTTCGTAATGAATATTCTGTCGAAGATAAAAGAGCTCTAGAAATAGTTAATAGTACCTTTAGACTGGAGGGTGGCCATTTCCAAGTTGGTCTACCCTGGAAGTATGATAAGGCAAGACTACCGAATAATTAGGAACTAGCTGAACGTAGACTAGTGTGTTTAAGGAAGAGGTTTATGAAGGATAATAGTCTTCTGTTGAAATATCAACTTGTAATGAATAAACATTTAAGTAAGGGTTACATCATCGAAGCTAGTAAGGAGGAATTCGACCGTGATGCTGTTTGTTGGTATATTCCTCATCATCTTTGATAAGTTCGTCACTTAGTATGCTTGAGGCTATTACGAGTTTACCGTAGTCGATAAACGCGAACGAGACTTTTACCAGCTTCCAGGAAGGCTACCTTGAATACCCAAAATCGAAATAGAAGGTTTTATAAGCGTAGAAGTATATTCTACAAACACCCAGCAATCACAGTACAATCAAGCATACAACTCTCGTTTATTTATACAACATAAGAACGTCCTTGAGACAGTTAAGAAAATAGTACACTAAAATAAACAGCAGCCAATCACAGCCATGGATTTTCGTAGTGGGAATAGAAATCTCAAGGTCATCTGATCAGCCCATGCTGGCAAAACGTGAAAAACAAAATACGGCATTATCAAGCGAATTTTGGGGATCTAACATCCCCAACACTCCTCCCCTTTTTAATAGCGTGTTCTCCTGGGGTCGACTTGCATCTTGACTATTGTTCGCCGCTGTCTGAGGGGATACCTTCGGGAACGAAGAAGAGCTTGCTGCTGAGTTTCTTCTCGTGGCGGGGCTCTCGGTAGGTTGAAGGTATCAAGCAAGATGTCAAGGGGAAGGCTTACTGCTCTTGATGGGCGATCTGGGGCTAGCCGTCTGCGTATCTGATTCCGGTGACGTGACCATTTATCACCTCCTACCTCTACTTCGTACATAACTCGACCAACACTTCTGACCACTCTCGCTTCTACCCAAGGACCATGGTTCGTTCTGTAGTCGCGGGAAAACACAGGGCATCCTACTTCGTAAGCGGATTGTCTTTGCTGCTTTGTCTCTACTGATGAGGGTGCATTAGTCGGATGCATCAGGCTGTGGATCGTTTTCAATCTTCTTCCCATCAGGATTTCAGCGGGGGCTTTTGCTCCGGTAACAATTCATTTGGTGTTGTTCGATAGACGTACAAGAAATTTTGTAACGCTTCGGCTGGCGTCCCCTCCCCTTTTGACTTAAGCAGTGCTCTTTTAAACGTATCCACAAACCTTTCCGCCTGCCCATTCGATTGCGAGTGGTATGGTGGCGAGCGTAAGTGTTTAATGGCTAGCCGTTGACAGAAATTCTGGAATTGGGAAGAGGGGAATTGAGAGCCATTTTCGGATACGATCACATCTGGTAT